GAATAAATAGGAGTTTTTTAAAAAAAAGAAATAATATAGGACTCGAGTATAAAACGGACAAGGAAGCACTCCTGTATCGTGCTACAGTTTTCATTCGTCTATAAATATCCACTCTTGACTTTCCTAAATCTGATTGAAACCAATCCCAGCCTATTCCATCTGATCTGCGTTCCCTCCCCCCTAATCTGCAAGCTTATATTTACAATTCCCAATCAACCCTAATGCAACCTGATGATTTGCCGGTTCTCACACGGCTACACCAGAAAAGGATATTTCCATTCAACAATACTGATACATGCCCTCCGGATGGGATTTTTCAATGTTAAACACAGCAGTGCCCGGGGAGGACGTGTAGCGGTCGTGGTACCCTGTTTTTTCTGTTTCCCATACTGTTGCCGTTTCCTCTGTGTGGAGCTAACGGTGGATATGGTTGCGTTGCCAGCAGTACCCATCAACTTCGCCTGCCTGGCAGCATCGATAGCAGCCTGCCAGGAGAGGGCTGCACCCGGAGTAGGGATATGCTCAGGTGCCAGCCCTGTTGCTGCATTGGCATTCATGTTGGCAAGAGCCGGACGCGGACTCACATAGTTGGAACCTAGAAGAAAAGGAAAGAAGAGACTGAAGATAAAGCTGAGAAAGACAGCCCAACCAATGGCTTAAGTTATTCCACAATTATGTCCGGCCCAAACCCAAGAATGGTATATGGTAATTCTTCCAAGCTGAGTTTGTTATTGTTTCACACACACAAAATGCTGCCAGACACATGACTTTAACATCTGCATCTACTATATCCGTGATGGCGAACCTATGGCACGCGTGCCAGAGGTGGCATGCGGAGCCCTCTCTGTGGGTACGTGTGCCATTGCCAGCTACTCTTCCAGGTTCCTTTGCATGCATGCGCACCGGACAGCTAGTCCAGCATGCATGTGTGCAATGGAACCTAGAAGAGCAGCTGGCCACCCCATGCATGTGCAACAGGCAGCTGCTCTCTTCCGGGTTCTGGCACTCTGCCGTGCGGGCGCACACATGCGCATGAGCGCGCGCAGCTGCTCCAGTTTCAGCACTCGGTGCCAAAAAGGTTAAGAAGGAGGGAAGGAAGGAGAGAAGGAGAGAAGAAAGGAGGGAAGGAAGGAGGGAATGTAGGAGAGAAGGA